TTAAAGAATATTGATTTCTATTAATACAGGCTGCTACGTTAGAGAACATGAATACATGTGATAAGAATGAAGTGAGGATTTAACCTTTGTGAAAGAAATCCGAGCGCTCACTGTGTTGACTTGTAGTACAAAACTTACTTGATGAGGGTCGTAACCTTAAGTTGCTTTCAACGGTGGCTTGTGGATTCAATTTTACCTCTATACATGTAGTCTCGGGTCGCAAAGAGTAAAGTGATTAGTTCTCTACAAAAGTAAACATGATGCTATACGGTATAACTGTACATATCTGCTGGCTTTAACATTTTTACGCAGCCTTTTATTTTTGTATAATAATAGATTTAAGTAATCGATTGTGTTAAAAACTATCTCGATTAATAATATGTTTATAATTCAAGAGTAAAATAGAATGGAATAATTTTTATTTAATATAAATTACATTAATACTAGATGAAAGTAAGTTAAGCTTTACTTAATGATTTCTTATATTTATGGGAACACTACACATTTAAATAAAACTAGTTTTTACGGATTTTATCACGTATATTATTACATTTTATATTTCCGACGTTTCGAGCACTTTACAGCACCCATGGGTACTGAGGTGTTTGACGTCCCAATGTCATAGTTTACCACGGCTACCTCCAGATTAAAATTATTAATTTTTGTTTCGATCTACAAAGTATGAACTTATAGTATCTTGAAGTTGTGCAGTTCTATACTTGGGTTCAGATTTAGTTTTATTAATTATAGTATCCCAAGCAGATGGTAGCACCCAGCCATCTTCTCTATTGAAATTGGGATGTTTTTGATTTCAATAGCCTCGCGAATCATTCTTGGAAGGTATCGGTGTTCTTTAGCGAGATTCTATGGTCTATCAAAGCTAATGTAGTGACGGGCGCGATCCTGTACGACTTCACAGACTGCAAACTTCTCGGAGCGTCGATTCTTGACATCAGCTATGTGTTCTTTAACTCGGGTTTTATTGATCTTTTAGTTTGTCCTATATCATAGAGACATCTTGCAGAGGGACATTACACTTGACTGATGGTAAAAACTGACTAAATTCTTGTTATTTTGACATTACAAACAGACAACTCTTCAATTCAATTATATTATTTATATAAAAGATTATTATTGTTAATACATTGTTAATCCACATTATTCTTAAAAGTTAGAGAATATGAGATAATAAACAATGATGCTTTGTTCTTTCTAAATAAATAAAATAATTCAATAATTCAATGTGATGTAATTAACAAATCAAGTATGGTTTTGTTATGATAACAGATACAAAATTTAAGGAATATTTCACGTTTCTATACATTTTTAAAACATAATATAGATAGATAGTCATTTATTTATATCTTACAAAGCACACACACACCAAAAAACTTAAATCAAACGTGTTATGCCGGGCACAATTTGTGCACCGTTCTGTGTGCACTGCACAAAAAACTAGGCCGTAGCTCGGTACGCGTATTGCCAACAAGAAATAAAAGCACTGATTTTTAGCTACCTCCCGAAAGTATTATAAGCAAGAGTTAAAATTCTGTACTAATTTGAAATTTATTGTCAATTCAAGTAAGGTAAGTCAAGTATATTGAAACCATTAAATTTGTCTAAAGGAAATTTCTCTGTAATTGCAAGGTTGTTTTAACTAGAGTTGGATAATTATATCCAACTCTAGCGATGCACCTCGACTTCTCACTTGATTTCTGGATCTCGACAGCAGCGCCACCTACCGGGTCATGAAAATCATTCGAGCCGTTTTCGAGTTTTAGAGACTAACGGGCAGCAATTTATTTTTATAGAATACTAGCTGGTACACGGCGCGTCGCTGCCGCAGAAGAAATAATTATGGAAATATCGTTTTAAATTTGGTGGAAAAACAGTTATAATGTTTAATTAGAATTGATAATGATGGTGATATATCAAATGTATGAAAATATATATAAATGTATTGGAACGCCATGTGAAGTACTAAGGGTGTTAAATGAGAAGAGACATGTTGTTGGTACTAGAACTTTAATTATACTCATTCTACCTTCTTATTTTCGTGGGGGCTACACTTCAGCCACTTAGTGTAAGTTTGTCATAGTCAATTCAGCTAGTGTGGATTGTACTATGCTTATATCGTTCGCGCAAGTGTAAGCAATAAGTTGACAAAGTTTTACCGCAATCTGATGAACGGTATGGCAGCGTTAAAAATACGAACGAACTAACATTATTTTTTTATATATCTATTAGATAATTTGATTCTGATTCAGATTCAGATTTGTTCACTTTAAAATATAGTATCTTGATACTCACAAAGACGTACAATGGGAAGAAATTAGTCTTTATGGCCATTCCTACTAGAACCCATTACCATTATCCGTGTCAGTTGTTAGCCATACGTCGAACAACACATGCGTTACAGAATATCAGCGTAAATTAGCATCTCAATGCTGTTGTGTTTCGTATGGTGAGTGTAGAGAACTGGAGACCCATCCTATTTAATGGAAACGAGGAATTTCATCTTGATACTCACGGGTGACAACACATCTGCATTTTGATTCGTAGTTGAGAAGAGTAGTCGTAGTAATAATATAAACGGGTCGTTTATTTATACTATATTTACGTCAACTCCATTGAAACTACGGCAGCATCTAGAATATTCAAAAGTATACCTTTACTAGTTAAAGTTAGATTAGCTCGTAACACTTTTTATCAACCGACTTCAGAAAAGGAAGAGGTACTCAATTTGACTGTGATTTTTATGTGTGTTACCTCAAATAATTATCAATTTGAGAACTATAAATTTGATCAAGATCTGACCAGTAGTTTTTGAGTTATCCTTAATAATGCGTATTTAATTTAATTTTTATTTTATTTTATTTTATTCTTAATAATGTGTTGCGGTTGTTCATGGACGGCAGTAGTCACTTACCATCAGGTGAGCCGCATGCTCGTTTGCCAACTCTTCTATAAAAAAATTTTTATTGAGTTCGGCTACATTGATGATGTTCTAATTTTATTTATATTGAAGTAGCCTCATTTAAAACCATAATGTTCTTAGCCTTTTTGATGCTCATGCTCCCAAGGTAAGATTGAAGTGTCCCTTAGCCTCATGGATGACAGAGGGCGTAAGGTTGGCAATGTCTAGATTAAACCGGGCTTTTCTTCGTTTCAAGAGAGAACGTACTGAGGAGAATTGGTTGTATTTTAAAGCAGTTAGGAATAGTTGCAATCAATAGTTTTCCTCTTCTTTTTCTTTTTCTTTTTTTTTTAAAAAATGTTACCCCCACACTAGGATTTTCTCCTGTATCGTGGAGGCAGTTTACAAACATATATTGCACAAGGACAAACATCCAGACCCGGAACAATTATTTGTAGGCCATACAAATACTTGTTCCGTGCGGGATTCGAACCCGCGGCCCCAAGTGTTGCAACTCATTGCTAAGCCACTACGCCACGGAGCCGTCAAAAGTTTAATTATTTTCATTAATTATTAGATATTTCCATAATTGTAGATATTAATAACTCTTATCCCGTCGAACTATGGAATTTTTTTAGATCTTTTGGTTTTTGCAGGTCAGCTACATCGGATTGTGGTCCTTTTCTATAAATTGATGAAATCAACCAACATTTCGCTTCTGTATAAGCAATGGACTCTACAATTCGCTCTCAAACAATGACTTCCATTGCTTCTGTGCAAACTTACCTTTAATTTCTTTGGTTTGTCAGGATGATGTTCAAAGGTCTATTTTAGCAATTCAGTCAGATGAGATTAGTGGACCTATGGTAGTATTTATACAAGATGTGACCGGTAGTTTTTGTGTTATCCTTAATAATGCGTATTTAATTAACTTCGAATACATCATCTATGTTTAAATTTTATTTATATTGAAGTCAGTTGTACAATTTTTTTTTTAATTTTATCACTTGTTTTAATGTTACATATTCGATTAAGCTAATTTTTTTAAAAAGTTTTGGTGGTAAAGCTATTCCAGGGGTGAAAACGCATTTGCATTTTGATTCTTTATTGAGGATAGATGTGTTTGTTTATGGGCCACAGCATTCGCTTACCATCTTCGCTTAGGTGGACTGTGTGCTCGTTTGTCACCTTATTCTATAAACAAAAACACACATATTTTTAAAATGTGATAAACTGTGTTGGTATCATAAGTGTATAAATATTATATCATATATGTATTACTGATGTCTCTTGCTATTTATTTTATATAAAGTCCCTGTTTTTTTATTTGAATAAATAAATAATATTACCTTTCAATCCTATTTTGCGATTGTCTCACATTACAATATCAGGTATGAAAAAAAAATATGCAGTGTTTAAAATAATATCAATCAATGGACGTTGACATACGACGTATGACATTGGTGCCTTGGTAGAGAAGTGAAGCTCTAGTGTGGGATGTTACTTGCGTAGACAATTTGGCGGCCTCTCATCGCGAGGATACCTCGTTTAACACGATGAGGGACAGTAGTGGCCTCTTAAAATTATGCGTTATGGCAGTAGAATTGCCCATACAAGTTACGACCACTGCTATATCAGTAGTGTTCTAAAGCAATACTAAAGAATAATAAACGAAGACAGTACTGTCACAGCCGTAAGCCGGTTATAGCCGTAGTGTCATATTATTATGCATGCCTGGCATGTTACAATTACACTACGGTTATTCCCGTAATCTGCTATAGCCGTACCGTGTTTTATAAATTATTGACGGGTTCAAAATATGATGCTACGGATATTGCTGTAAACAAATATATTGCTGTATATAAATGTAGTTTTCAAAATTAAACCAAAATATATAAGAAAACTAATCATTTATTGAATCACATAATGTAATATTCGGAAACAGTCATTTTTCATAATGGCAATGATCCCTATTATATTATATAAAACTTAAGCATAAAAACAAAAGAACAGTAACAAGACCCTAATTTTAAGGAATCCTCTAGTCAGCCTCTAAGTAAATAGATAATAATTTACCTAAAACTTAGTCTTCCTGCTGATTACATGCATGCAAAATGTGCCAATCTTCGAAACATTCCGGACACAAAGGTGTTCTTTTCACACATCCCTTACAGATATATTTAGTTTCTTTTCGTTTATTTACTTTAGTGCACAATTTGCAATTCAAATATTTGAATTTTCTTTTACTGCCATCAGAGTTCGTTGTAACTGGCATCACGACTGGCCAGTGACCTTTCATTGCTGCGAGGCTACATTCTTCTATAACATTTTGCCTAAATCTTCGGCTGCTGTACACACTATCTTTTCTTACCACATCGGGACCCTTTACATTATCAGAAACTTGACACATTTCTTTTATCAATTGGTCTCTGAACTCTATGGACTTATATCTATCATTCTTTTTCACATATTTTTTATACAAATAATATGCGTTCCAGACTGCGACGTCGAGACAATGAAAAGTAACCCTTTTATACCATCTTAGGCTTTTACGGGGGGATGAATAATATGAAGTCATCTGATCGACTCTATCTACTCCCCCCATAAAACAGTTGTAAGCAGCTACTTCAGCGGGTTTAGTTGCTACTTTGCCATATCGATTTGACACTTGTATTAGTTTTGGGTGATCACGAGTAGAAATTGTAAAAACCGGTCTTTTATCTCTCCACATCGAAACATAAATTTGGCCTTTACGAAACCAGTAATAATCTCCTTTTTTTAGCTTTAGACTTGTTAGTGCTTTTGGGTTACCTTTACGGTTTTTTCTCAATGTCCCACAAGAGTGTGTCCGCAAACTAAGTAACTTATGTGACAATTCTACTGAATTGTAAAAATTATCCATGAAAACATGGTGACCTTTGAACAAATATGGTTCCAACAGTTTCAGCACGATATTTTGAGTTTTCTTTCCTGTCTCTGATTTATCTTTACCACGGTACATCATCATATCAAGGACATAACCGTCAGCAGTTGTGAGGACATAGAATTTTATACCATACCTCGCTTTTTTTGACTTTATGTATTGCCTAAAGTATATTCTACCCCGAAATAGAATAAGAGATTCATCTATGGATAACTCTTTAGAAGGACCGTAGATACGCTGGAAGTTATTATTCAGAGCTTTTATAAAATCAAGAATTTTGTGTTCACCCTTTGCTTGATCATCTGCTACACACAGACATCTTATGATTTGTTCGAATCTCCTACCAGATGTTATATATTGAAAAAACGGATGATAGTACAGGGGATCATTGGAAAAAAAATACCGTCTAACGGGGAATTTCAATTGCCCTTGAAGAAGGCATAAGCCTAAAACAGATAACATCTCCTGCTTATCCACAGGTCGAAATTTATAGTGACGACTATTCCTCGTGCGGGGCCCATCTTGACTAGTTAGTTTCTCACCATACTTATTTGTACAATCAATCATGTTATCCATAAGCCTATCCGGAAAAACTAATTTGAACATATCTAGTGGTGTGTGAATGAGATTTACATCAAACTTTGGTCCTGTTGAGAACTCGTCAAAGTGGAAATCAGCAATTGATATAGTCGTCTTTGACCACCCTTCATCGTTTTGGAGCTGCGCTGAATTGGTGACTATTTGGGCAGCAGGCTGTTCCACCTCTGGAGACAGAAGAAAAATATCCATGTCGTTAGGCAGCAAATTATCACTAACTGTTTGTGCACTAGGCTGTTCCACCTCCAGAGGCTGAAGAAAAATATCCATTTTGTTAGGCAGCAAATTATCACCAGCTGTTTGTGCACGAGGATGTTCCACCTCCGGAGACTGAAGGACTGTATTCACTGCAGTTATATCTTCTTGAGTTAGCAGAGATGGACTTACCGGTGCAGTACTATCGTTACTAGCTGAAGAATAAGAAACATGGCGTGCTGAGATTCTATTGAAACCGATTTCATCCTCGGAAGATTCTGACTGAGCAGATGGACGATAATCTTCGTCAGAACCATACTCTCCCTCGTCATCGTGGTACGGGTCTTCGATATCGCTGGTTTCCGGTGTTGAAACATCTTCCAGAAGACGACTGATGCGATCTGAATCCATCTAGAACAAAATATGATCATTCATATTACACATCCGTATAGGCACCTTTGAAATAGATTTATCAGTCTACACATTCTTGTTTGCTAGTCTCAGTGGTCTAACAAACCGTTTTGAGTAAAAATAACAATCAAAATACTTACGTTTGTTCATAAATTTAGGCACGAAAAAATGGCGCGAAAATCGACGAACACAACTTTCTCAATGGGCGCGTGGCGCGACACTACTCAAACCGTCGCATAGAATCTTCATAGAACGACCACGGGCATGACCGTAGTGTGCGGGCGTGGGTACCGTAGAAAACGCACACACACCTATATTTTCAATGTTGTATTTTATTGAGTTCTAATGATTCTGAAGAAATGAGAAACTGATGTGATACGACAGTAAAAACGGTTTTCCTTGTTCCTCTATACGAAAATTCACTGCACTTACCGTACGTCAGTCCAAAAGAACTTAAACTTTTACGGTGATGCCCGTACTGTCATTTTCAATCATCGAAAAATCTACTGCTATTGCAGTGCGTCCCGCAATGTGTTAAAGCCGGGGCGGCATCAGAGGCAGAGCTGAGTAGGTGGCGCAAATATGAGTCTCTGAGAGATGACTATATATTTGTGCTATTTGCTGTGGAGACTATCGCTCCGTGAGGCCCACGTGCGGTGAAGTTCCTAAAAGAACTCTATCCGCGACTGGCTGTTGGTGCTGGTGATAAAAGGGCTGGTTCTTTTGATTGAGAGAGGAAACGCAGCCAGCGTTCTTGGCACGATACCACGGGGAGTAGGACTGTGTGATAGTTAAGTTATTAGTTTTAGTTTCTTTTATAGTATTTTAATAAAATATTCTATATAATAAAATATTGTATATTATGTTATTTAAATAAATATTAAATAATATAAAAAAAATCCTTCAACTTTTTTATACATAATTTATAATTGACGACTACGTGGTACATTGGATTGGCAATGAGTTGCGGAGCTAGGTGACACGGGTTTGAATCCCGCACGGAACAAGTATTTGTATGGCCTACAAATAATTGTTCCAGGTCTGGATGTTTGTCCTTGTGATATTTATGTATATAAATTGCTTCTACGATACAGGAGAAAATCCTAGTGTATAAATTAGTGTGGTAGCGTTTTTTAAAAAGAAAATAAGATAAAAATATATTAACTCTAGCCAAGGTGTCATTACATGATATGAGTTACTTATGTTTTTTTTTTCTATAATGTTCTCTTCTGAATAAATATTTTTAAAAACCCCATCGTTTCCACCTAAAACGTTGATGCAGAAGGTAAAATATTCATCGTATCATACAATCTTATAAGTCCTTCAGTTTGAAGAGCTTCACGAAAGTATAAAGGGAGTTTACAACGGGATTTAAGCTGCACCCAAGAGAATAACCCGAAAATTGATGCATACAACAAAGGAAGAATCGAAGCAGACATCAACCATTTTTCTAGTTCTGAAAGTCTCGTATATTCTATTTTCATCAAATTTAGGTACGGTCTTTTCTCTTATTATTTCTTCAAATATTTTTCTTTATTTCTATATTTAAAAAAAATAGACTAGTATAAAAAAATATAATAGTAGCAGACAATGGTGAAGCCAGGCTGGAAATTAAATCGAAACCTTAGTACCAATGGGCCAATTATTTGATATCAAATCCCAGTGTGCTTATCATTAAAAAAAATAGAACAATTGGTAAATAATTTTTAGAGCCATGCTGCAGCTATATTAGTAGTATAGTTGTAGCACGAATGGGTCGGCACGACCGGGGAAGGACCACGCTCTCACAGAATACCAGCGTAAAATGGCAGCCTGACACTGCTGTGTTTCGTATGGTGAGTGTAGAGAACCGGAGACCCGTTTCACTGGAAAAGAGGCATTCCATCTTAGTCCTCACGAGTGACGACACATTCTGCATTTTTGATTCTTTGTTGAGGATAAACGTAGATGTCTATGGGTCACAGCAACCACTTACCATCAGGTGGACTGTGACCTCGTTTATCGCCCTATCGTCTATAAAAAATAAAACTTTTATTAAAAACTGTGTGTTTGCGAATAAGCTAGGAAACCCACCATCTAAGGTTCATAAAAGAAATACATCGGAATGCAATGATCGCAACAAGTACCTATTTTAGACCACTATCACTAAGCAATTACGCGTATCGTAAGATTTATGATACCATTACCGTTAGTCTGTTAAAACCCCCATAGATTGCCTCATAGGGGGGATATTTGCTATAGTTGACACGCTTGGCAAGCGGGTTGGCAACCGTAGCTTTTTTTTATTAATTATTAGGAAAACGCTGTTGCCCATCTCCTGATTTGTTTCCCTCTGTCGCCTCTTACGACACCCACGGGATGATATGGGGCAGTGGATATTCTTACACCGCCACTACATGGTAAACATTTGTGATAATCAACGCAATAATGATTCACAGGCCACAAACAAAAATTCCATGCAGTATTCCTACCGCTAGCTATCCAGACATACTATTGAATGCTGTAGGCAACGTTGAAGATATAGGACTAATAGAACTTTAGAAAAAACGTGATGAACATCCGATAAATAGTAGATTAATGCCAAAAAATTATTCAAATAGCTTAAAAAAGATATTCCCTAATAATGCTTAACATAATACTGCATAATAACATTATAAATGACCTAAACTATAAATGTCCCTAAGTAGGTACGTAATTCTATATATCGTCTTTCTAATCAAATCGTTATGCCGTTAAAATGTTGCGTAGGAAGGACCATATTATCTGGTAATATTGTTAGTTTATGAATTTGATCTCTACATATATTATGTAGTATAAAACAAAGTGGCTTCCCGCCGTATGTACGCTTAAATCATTTAAATATTCGCAACGGATTTTAATGCTGTATTCATCAATAGACAGAATGGTTCAAGAGGAAGGTTTATATGTATAATACATGTATAATATATATCACGTAATTCTTCTGTCCGTAGATATGTGTGATTGAACTCCTCCTAAATGGCTGGACCGATTTTGATGAAATTTTATGTATGTAATAAAGTTGATTAGAGAATAGTTTAGATTCACAATTGGGCCCGGTAGGTAGCGTTGTTGTCGAGATCCAAAAATCAACCGTACGAAGCCGGGGCGGATCGCTAGTAAGATTGTAAATGTAGCTTAAACTTAATAATAATATAACTAAATTTGTGAGGTGTACGGGAAGTACACCACAGATGAAAGCACCTGTTGTTCAGCAAAGTATATAAAAGCTGCACAACAAGCTGCGATATGGACGCTCTATAAAGTTTTTTGAACAGGATATTCACCACGTAATATTAAGATAAACTGTAAACAACCGTTGAATATTTATCTGTTAGATTTTATATAGACAGAACTAAATTAAAAAGACGGATAAATGAAATAAATTAATTTTATAAATGAAAATGAAAAATGGCTGCCACATAAACTGTTGGAAATGGAATGGATAGGCTAAATATTTGTTTTTATTTACTATCACGTCAGACAAATTAGTTTTTTTTTTAAATAATATTGTTCCCAAACCGAACTTGCATCCGAAAAAAAAATTGAGTGTAGGTATTATGGTATTTCAAAGGAATAATCTATTGAGACTTTCCCTTCACCAAACGATCATTACTAACTTGTATATTTGTACATCTTACGGCCAAAAAACATAAAAGTGGCGTGATATTATTGATAAGGCTGACGATTATATAGATTAATAAAGGTGGTTTTGAAATACTTTTTGTAATTGAATAAAACTATTTTTACGAATTTTATCGCGTTTAATTAACTTATTTTAATTGCCGACGTTTCGGGTGCATGATGCAATGGTGAATTGCACTATCATCCATATCACAATTAGTCACCGTGGGAAAACGTTTGTTTCAGTTGTGTAGTGTTCGCGTAAATCATAAATACTTTTTTTAATATTCAAAAAGATTAAATGCAAACGGGAACAGTAAAGTTTTGGTAATACCTAAAAATTTAAACGAGAAAACGGAAGGTGGAAGCTCTATTAAATCTGCTCGAAAATATATAAAGTCATTATGCAGCACATCAAAAGAATGTTATACATAAAATTAACGATCTTGAATGTTATAAACAAAAATTAACTACCAGTTAAATATGCCGTTGAATACGGTAAAGTTATGTGCAATAAATTAAGTAATTTACAAATGATCTATTGAAACTACCATCAAAAGTAAAAAAGGAGTTTCATGAGTAAATAAAAGATAACACACAAAATCATTCAAATGAGACGTAGATAACTTTGCAAATAAAAATACAATCACCAACACAATGATTTTAATTCATAAGTAAAACCTTATTTTCGATGTTCTCTTATAGATGGTTAACCTTATCCATCAACGTAATCGACGAATCCGTGACAAAAATAAAGAAAACGCCCGGTCTATTTTTTAAACCTGTAGACGTATATAAAAATGAGTTACTATATGAATATTTTCTTTTACGTTATAACCAAGAGACGACTATATAACATAACAATAGATAACTAAAGAAACGGCAGACGTCCAGATGGCCTTTTGAAATAAGAATAACATTGTTCATTTGAAACCACTTGTAAACTACTTTATGCTCAAAAATAGAGACTAAGTCAGATAGCTTACATAACTTTTGCCAAATTAGAACCAAATCAGGACTTGTCAATCCAGTAGGTTCGATATTAGTTTATTAGGTACTGTGGATAACGAAGATCGAATTATTAAGTCAGAACGCAAAATGAGGACCATGAGACAATGCCCTAATTATCATTACAGCCCTTCACAAGTCCACTGCTGAACATAGGCCTCCAACAAGGAATGTCATAAAGCACGGTTCTGAGCCACCTGCATCCAACGACTTCCTGCATGTTTTACCAGTTCGTCACTCCATCTAGTGGGAGGACGACCTATACTTCACCTGCTGCTGATATCCTAATTTTTAATATCTTGTAAAGAAACCCTGAGCATAGCCCTCTCCATAGCTTGCTGAACGACGTT